CAACATATTAGTAGTGCATGGACGACAGTACAAACTCAAAGGATAAGTGCTAAGGCAGCACAGAACAAGGGAGGTCTCAGTGTGAGAAGTCAGGGAGCGCTCACTCAGAAGATACAAAGAAGCTAGGCTTGAAGGGAGTGATGAACAAGAGCTGGGGCCAAAAACAATCTCAACAAAAGATACTGCATGAGAAAGGCACAGAGGCAAGGGCTTGTAAGACAACAGTGTGAACATGATGAGTCGAGCTGAATATGCCAGAAAATGAGGCAGAGGCAGATTAAGCATGAAGGGCAAAATAATGGTAGAACTTGGAACACTAGTGCTCTGATAGGAATTATCTGCCAAGTGTTCTGGACTAAAAATGGATTCTAAGGAGAATCACCTTAGAAGCATGGGGAGGGAGATCTTGAAAGCAATGAAATCTTGAAATTTCTTGAAATTTCTCGAAATCTTGGAAGGATGAAATTACAATCACCTGGGCATCAGAATATATGATCTGCAGAAGGCTACAAGGGGATGGGAGAAATGTGAAAGATCCAGCCTCACGGAGAAAACTAAGAACTGGAATGTAGAGTGTAGGGCAGAAAAAGACAAAGACAACACTAAGATGGCGATAAGAAATAGGAAAGACAGGGCACCTGGCTGGCTCAGTCAGTAGAGCACAGGACTCATGATATCGCCGTCATGAGTTTGAGCCCCACCCTGGGTATGGAGGCCACTTAAAAAGAACAAACATACATACATGAAGGGCAGTAAGTCTATTCAGGATAAAGAAGCTAAGCAATAATGCCTATTTAAAAGGAAAATGGGAGCTGGGGGATAAGCATGATGAGGTCTGTTTTCAAATACCAAGTTCTGTAGGTATCTGACCCACAGGGTGGGAAATATTAAGTTACTGAAATGAAATACAGAAGATTAAGTGTAAACAATCAAAATAGGTAAGTACAAGTGAATCAGAAAAAATACTGGATAAAATCAAGACATGAGGGTTATTTCCTGTGGAGAGGAGAAACAAGACCAATAAAGAAAAGCTAGAAATTGGGGAAAATGATCAAGAAGGACCCCCCAAGCCAAAGAAGAGAATTCCTGGGTTGCAGGGTCAACTCAGGAGTGTGAAATATAGATCGAGAAGGTCAAGAACTCAGAAAAGGCATTCAGATTTATCCACAGGACACTTAGGTGGAATACTGAGTACAAATGCCAGTAAGAAGTTTCAAGAGTATAGTAATGAGAAAATGGGGTTGAGCGATGGATGGTACATTTGAAAAACTGTGAGTGGTTGAAGAAAAAGAGAATGGCAGTTGGACATGGGCAGTGAAGTGGAAGGTTCTCTACACTTCATGCTGGAGGTAAATTTTACTGTCATCCCAAATGACCATATGCCTGGCCTGGCATGGCACATGGATATTTCATTTCCCTCCACAGTTCTAGTTCCCTGGGGTAGTTTAGGGAGACATATACTTGAATCTGTACATTACTGCTTAATCCTCTGAGTTACTTTTTTTTTTTTTTAGTTACTCTTTTAAATATGTTTTATGTGTACCATTTAACTTTCTAGTACTACAAACATCAAAAGTATCAACCAAAATAACATTTTTAAACCAATTTTCCAGTAATTGCAATGGATTTGTACTATACTATACTCTACGTTCCCTTCCCCAGTAGCTCTTATGGCCAGGGATACCGAATTTTCAGATGGCTGGCCAGGGTCAGGGTGTTCATTAGAGACATGGTAGCACAGTGGTCAACAGCACAGGCTCGAGAATCTGACACTGTAGGGCAGAGTCCCTACTCTGTCACTTCCCAGCTCTATAACCTTGGTCTACTCACTCACCCTTCTAAGCCTATTTCCTCATCTGTAAAACGTAGGATATACTATCTATCAGAACCATGAGAAATGCTTAGCAAATGGCTTGGCATACAGTAAGTGCTTATTAAATGTCAGCTATTACTATTTAGAGGCTCAGGACCAAGAGTAAAGCTAACTACTCTGTATGGGAATCACCCACCACATTCTAGCACTGCCATCTTGCTCAATGGCAGAAATCTTTGAAACCTAAGACATGTCTTCTAGGACTAAGTTGAATGGCCGCAGAGTTACAGAAGAACCACTTTATCATGCTGGGCCCTAAAATGAGATCATGATAGGAGAAGAAAGTATTGGTGAACAGTTCATCTCAGATGAAGAGCATAAAAATAGAATCTGCAGGATATAAAGGAACTTAGCACACATCACTCAGTCAGGAGCTCAAGATAAGATCATAAAGATGGATCGACAACATTCTAGTACAAAGAGTGAGAAGTGGAGACCAAGAATGGACTTCTACATGTGCCCCCAAAGAAACAACAGCCTTTTCTACCTTCTTACACTATGCGGCCATTTCTGTATGTGGGCTAAACGATAGTTCCTTCAAGTCACAGTCTTTCCTTTTTTTTTTTTTTTTTAAAGATTTTATTTATTTATTTGACAGAGAAAGAGCGAGCGAGCGAGAGAGAGAGATCACAAGTAGGCAGAGAGGCAGGCAGAGAGGGGGAAGCAGGTTCCCCGCTGAGCAGAGAGCCCGACGTGGGGCTCGATCCCAGGACCCTGAGATCATGACCTGAACCTAAGGCAGAGGCTTAACCCACTGAGCCACCCAGGTGCCCATCACAGTCTTTCCTTATTCATCCCAGCATCACACTAATCTTTCTAGGCATATTTTCTTTTCTCTGAATTCCTGCCAGATGCTGAGTAATTATAGATTTAAGTAGCATGACTACACATTACTGTGAGTAGAGAGATGTTAGCTGGTACACTTACAGGCATTTTAGTATGTTGTTCTGACAGCTTTTACCAGAATAGAAGACAAGTGCTCCTCGGAACTACGTGGGAGGACTGTGTGGATGTGTGCACGTATTATCCCTCTGATGGTGTACCCATCCTAAACAGTATCTGCACACAGGCAGCACTGGCAGAATTGGTATCCTACAGAGGGTAAAGGCACAATTGAAGCAGACAGCAAGGATCTAGAAACCACCAGATTTGTTTCTGGTTTCTTGAATTTTCAAGTACAAGGGAATGAGGAATGGAATTCCCTTCAAGTGCAAGGGAACCTATAGGCCAAAAGAAAAAAAAAAAGGAGAATAAGAAAACAAAGGATAATGGAAAGCACTGTTTTGAAAAAGTTAACCAAGGAAGCCACGATGACAAATGACAGATGGGTATCACTCACTCAGTGAAACAGGGGTGATGTTGTTTGTGATCAGGGTGGGCCACAGTGGGTCAGAGAAGGGATTTTATAGAGAAGGAATTCATGACCCAAAAGGCAGACCTTTATGATGAAAGATTTTATGACCTTTTGAAAAACATCAATACATGTTAATAAGTGTTGCTCCTGTTTAGAACAGTCAGTGTGAAGTTGTGTAACTTCTCCTGGCATGCATCCTAGTCTCCTGAATAGGATTAGTGGAATCAATTCCAATTCTGAAAGCTGATTTTGGAAAAAAGCCAAAAGTAACTCCAGTCCAAATGTGATGAACAAGTGGGTAATGGTCAAAAATGAGACGTTACTCAGGGGTCCAAGTCTTCCAAATATTTGGAGGAGCGGTAGCGCTACCGGGCTAACCAGAAGTGCCGAATTTAAAGGACAAACCATGTTTGGATGCATAGAGTCTGGTGTGTTATTTAACCCAACCTTGTCACTTTACAGAATATCCTTTGGTACACTGAAAGCCTCCAAGAAAGATAGTGCCTGGTGATAATGAGTTAAGATACTCTGTCTGCTGGATTACACACGGAGTTCACCAGAATTTAGAAGATGAGGAGCTGTGAGGGGAAGTATTCAACAGATCGCCACGGGGACACACAGAGCTAATGGCAAGAAACAGATGGAGAATGAAGGGTGAGGGGCTAAGGCCATCTGACGAGGTGGGAGCAGGGTGACGACAGGAGTGACAGACTGTCCTGTCAGGGGTTTGTGCAGACTGGTAAGAACCTGAGAGGGCAGTACTGTAATGGGCCAGGCGAGCTGTGTGTACATTCTTTGTAAGGATTTTTAGGTCTTCTTCAAGCACCTCTGTCTCCCCTTTCTCCCATGTGATGCAGTAACTAGGATAGTGTCACCACCTCTGTGTACCACAGTGTACCGTGGGAAGGTGGAAAGGAGAGCCACAAGTCACCAAAAAGTACAACCACCCGAGCTGAAGAGCAGCCAGGCTGAGTCTCCACTCACCTCTTTCTCTGCTTCATTCCCACAACCATCACCTCCTTTGCGGACACACGCACGGGGGCTGGGGGTGGTGAAGGATACGTATGGACGCTCAATGACTCACTGGAGTCAGGGAAGGTGAGATATGAAGAAAAATGCTGCAGTGCTGTTAGAAATATAGCATTCTGAGTTTGCATGGGAATATGGTTTTCCACTGACTATCAGAACATCAGAATAAAACAAAACGCACACTTAAGCATAAATACATTAAGTGTCTGTAAAAATTTCCCTAGAACTAGGTTCTCAGGAAGCTAAGTACAAAATAAATTTCACACAGAGGCTGCTTCAAACTCTAAAGTGGCTTCTCAGATCAGATGTGCAGCACAAGTGCACCTCAGGGAGGTAAATGGGGGAAGGGAATCACAGGAGACGGGAGGAAGCAGAGGAACCAGGAGTAGCCTCTCTCAAAACCTACAACTACTCCTCAAAAGACAAAATTAAGTGCCTCCATGACAAGCAACTTGCTCTAATGCTATTTTGTTTCTAAAGGATACATCAGGCCATCAGGAGCTCCACTCCCTCAGACACCTCCCCGGACAATCAAGCTAACCCACGTCATCAAGGCACTGGCCCAGACTACTGAAGAGCTACTCTAATCCACCACCACGATCCGTTCTGACCCTGGTGAGGTTGCAGTGATGACACACTTTCTTTTTACTACACTGAAAGAGCCCTCACCAGCATGTAGTTTCTCTAATGTGGAATAATGCCCAAACTACGATTGTGCTTTGTTCCTAAACTCCTATGGATTCAGATTTTTCTCCACTGTGGATTCTCTGATGCCGAATGAGACTTGACCTCTGAATAAAGGCTTTCCCACACTCATTACATTGATAGGGCTTCTCCCCTGTGTGAATTCTCAGATGCTGTATGAGGCCCGTGTTCCCATTGAAAGCTTTCCCACATTCTTTACATTTATAGGGTCTTTCTCCAGTGTGGATTCTCTGATGTTCAATAAGGCCTGACTTCTGACTGAAGGCCCTCCCACACTCATTGCATTTGTAGGGTTTTTCCCCAGTGTGGCTTCTCTGATGGCCAATAAGATGTGAGCTCCGCCTGAAGGTTTTCCCACACTCATCACACTCATAGGGCTTCTCCCCAGTGTGGATTCTCTGATGTCCAATGAGGTGAGAGCTATGACTGAAAGCTTTCCCACACTCATTACATTCATAGGGTCTCTCCCCACTGTGGATTCTCTGGTGCAGAATAAGGCCCGCACTCTGACTGAAAGCCTTCCCACACTGATTGCACTGATACGGCTTCTCCCCAGTATGGATTCTCTGGTGCAGGATCAGGCCTGTGTTTTGACTGAAGGCTTTACCACACTCCTTACAGTGATAGCGCTTTACTTTGTTGTGGATATCCTGATGGGAAAGAAGGGCTGACCTGTAACTGAAGGCTTTACTGCACACATTACACTGATAGGGTTTCTCCCCAGTGTGGATTCTCCAGTGGCGAACAAGGCCTGAGCTCTGAGCAAAGCTCTTCCCACATTCATCACATTTATGTCGTCTCTCCTGAGTGGGATTTCCCCGCTGCCTCTCTAATCTGCCCAGAAGATCTCGGGCTTCTCCATGCTCAAGACCCCCGATAACATCCCCGTTGCATTTGGCAGCTGTCTCTCCATGTGGTTGGATTCCAGTAGATATTACCTGTTTCGAAGATAATTCCCTGTTCTCATTCCTGGTCTCACCACCTGAAATTAAAATGTGGGAAACATCAAGCCAATGTCACTTTCTATTCTCTATGTTAAAAAGGAATTGAACATCAGGGAAATATACATGGAAAACTGGCAGGACACACACAGCTGCCACCTGCCTCCAAATGCTGTCACAATACAGAAGGAGAAGAAAGCAGGGCCAACACAAGTACCACAGGCCAAATGGGGAAGAAGTGCCAGGAACGAAGTGGGGTTTGGCGGGGGGGGGGGGGGATGGAAAAAAGCCACAGTCGCTGAAAGGGCGGAGCACAACGAGCGTAACAGGGTGAAATCCAGGTAAAGATTCCATGGGACTGGGAGCAGAAAAAATGAGTCCCACTGCACAGAACAGTAGCCAAGGTACGTCCTGGCTTGGAGAGCTGAAGTCCACTTTATAGCACTGTTTCTCTCTGTTAGTTCCTGAGTTTGAACTCAACAATGTCTTTCAGAAAGCTCACAGTTACCATCGCATAACAAAGAAACAAAACACCTTAACTGATAACAATAACCAGAGCTCTCCTTACCCAGGGAGAACATGTTTCGGTAATTCTCTGGCCTATTATCTCTACTGGGATCCTTCTGGGATGGATCAAGAAGCCACTCCTCTCGAATTAGGGACACAGCCATGTCTTCGATCTTCTCTAAAGTCTGAAACAAAACAAAATCCCCATGTGGGACTGGCACTGTTCCACAGCTCCAGCCCAGAGTATCGGAGGTCCGCCAGGCTTGGAGAGGATCAAGAGGTGGGAATGTACTGTGTAAAGGGATTTTAAGAAGCTGGGAAGAGGAGAGAAATGCACCAGATTTGCTCGGGTTAGGGAAAATCAAGAAACATGCAAAAAGAATTTGGGGCAATTCCTGGTCAGTATGGGTACAGAGTCCAGACAGAAGGTAGATGCCACCCACGCTGTCAAGCAGAGCTACCGGGTTTCAGGGAGAAGGGGTACAACTCACCTGGAACCCTGCTGTGAGAAGTGTTGCTGTCATCTCCTGGTCTCCAGGACTTCCCTTCTGGGAAGAGGTAGGACTCTGAGAAGTAGAGATGGCTAAGAGAGGAGAAAGGAGCGGAGTGAGACCAGTGCTGTCCCGTAGCTGCGGCAGCCAGCGCTAACCCACTCCAAAGATGCTTGTATTTCAGGACATGTGCTTGTCACAGATTTTGCACATAAAATGCTGAAGGACCCCGGGCTGGCTCGGCAGGAGCATGCAGGTCTGCATCTCAGGGTCGTAAGCTGAAATCCCGCGCTAGGTACAGAGGTTCCTTAAATAAACTTAAAAAAAAAAATATTTAAAAAATAAAAAGTATAAAATAGAACGCTATATCTTGGGCTCTGGGTCTATACCTACGGCTGCACACAAGATAGCACTTTGATGTCCTACTCAGCCTGAAGTTACATGTCAAAAATAGAGTACTGGTTTACTTTTTAAAATTTTTATTATTTTTAAAATTTATTTTATTTGTGAGAGAGAGAGAGCAAGAGCAGGGGGAAGAGGGAGAAGCAGACTCCCCGCTGAACAGAGAGCCAATCCCAGGACCCTGAGATCATGACCTGAGCTGAAGGCAGATGCTTAACTGGCTGAGCCGCCCAGGTGCCCCTGACTACTGGTTTCCTAACAGGAACTGCTTTACAGTTTCTTCTCTCTCACCAAAGCTATTTTCTATCCTTGTGCCTCTGTACGGTGTTTCTTTAGGTCCTGATCTCATTGGCAAATGGAATATGAGAACCAATTTATCTCTGTTAACTCTATTACCTTTCTGAAATGTCTACCATGACTGCCACGATCTGCTTCCTACAGATATCAGACATTGCAATACCAAAATTAACAGACTACTGCATCTTGGGCAATAGGCTTTAGAACTTTAGACAACAACCATATTACTAACTCAAATATTAAAAATCAGTTTACATGGAACAAACTACTATAAATCACATAAATGAAAAAAAAAGGAATGCGGAGCAAGTATGAGAGGAGACTAGAACATCTTGTTCTGCAAGAAGGTAAGAAGTTCTCAAAAAATGATGGGGAAATTCCAAAAGGCTGGAGGAGCCAGACTGAAGGGGCCTCCTCTGACCAAATCTGAGACAATTTAAGCATCAAAATAAAGATGGTGACAAAATAAAGACAGATTTAGGTATTTTATTTCTGGAATAAAATAAGACCTTATGAGTCCATACTAACAAATTAACGAATAAAATAAAATAGGGAGGAGGGAACACTCTCTATTACAACACATAAATGTAGAAGGCATGACACAGAAAATCATCATTTTGTAAGTCTTAGTCATCACTGATTCATTCATGCAGCATCAATGAAAATTAAACTCGTGTTTTAGCAACAAAAGTTTGATGAGGACCAGATACTTAAACACACTCAAGAGTATCTCTCCACAAATTACTTACTAATTGCAAAGGGAAAAATAGTAACTTTACGGTGATTAACCTAGCAAGAATAACCGTCATCAAAGATGCCAACACGAGTAACAGGACAAATGCCTGTGGTACAGCAGCAAAGGAGGCAACGGCCCTGCCGGGTGCTCCAGCCACACACATACAACTGGAATTTACGCGTAAGGAAATGTCACACAAACCCAAACTCAGCCACTCTATAAAATAACCGACCTGTATTCATCAAGAATGTCAAAGTCATGAAAGGCAAAAAAAGGCTGAGGAACTATTCCAAATTAAAGGAGTCTATCGAGACACGGTAACTGCCTGCAAAGGGTAATCTTGGACTGGACTCCAGAAGACCATTACTGGGACAACTGGCAACAGAAATATGAGCTGTGGACCCGAGTAGTACTGGATCAGCATGACATCTCCTAACTGTGATGCATTTATTGTGGCTATCCAAGACAATGTTTTAGTGTGAGGAGTTATATACTGAAACAGTTACAAAGAAAATGGCATGATTCCAGCAAAACCTCAAAACGCCTATGTTGCTACTACACTGGGATAAAGAAATGTGTGAAGATATAAAAATCCCCGAGTTCTTTAATTTGTTCATGAATTTCCCAACGGGACCAACAGTCTGTCTTTGAAGCCTAGGTAAACATTCAAACCCAGATCTTAGGACTGGTCTGTAAACAGAAATTCTACTTCCTGGTTCTCTAGGAACTCAACAGGCACTTTCTTTTCTACTCCTCCCTCCTTGTCAATGAAATCTGGCCCCTCACCTCTCTCTTGTGGCCCTTGGGGCACTGGAGATTTGTGCTGGGTTGCCACAGATCGGAGCGGAGCATCTGGAAGCTCTGGTGCAGACTCTGAACGCACCACCTCCTCCCAGAGTCCATGTCCATGTGCACGGGCTGGGACCTGAGGACAATGGGACAGCTGCATTACAAGAAATTCCTTCATGAAAGGAAGCGAACATTAGGAGGACCAAGAGCACAACTATAAGGCTATGTGCTTGTTAAAAGGAAGAAGAATTTCATCTACTTCCTAAGGGCAGTAAGAAAACAAACCTATCAATTAGCACCGAAAGGCATCATTTCTGCTGATGCCCTTCCTGCCTTTTGCACTTGCAAGGCATGGGAAGAGAGATAAACGGAAACTTAAAGCAGGGCTATTAGATAGAAAAAACTTTTGATAACACCAAGGAAACCTGAGGTCTGGTCTCAGATCTGCCTTTATGAGCGCCCAGAGAAATTCAAGTAACTCTGTATAGCAGTTTCCCACCTGGCAAACAGGAACAATCATAGTCGCAAGGATGTTATGAGGATAAAAAAGGTACACACAGCCTTCGCAAAAATAAAAAGAACTCTATAGATACAAGCCACGCTGCGCTAGAGCTGCGTCCATCCTCCTACAACACAAACAGGACGCCCGGCATTTATTCTCCCGCTGCGGAGCTCATGTCCCTCCAGGCCGCTTCTAGACCTCCCAGTCCCGGCGCGCATGCCTCCTTCTGCTTACCGGCCGCCCTAGTATGTCAATCTGCCTTTCCAAGTCCTCCAGCAGGGTCACCACCTCCTCTCCATTCTCCAGCTGATGTTCCTTCACCAGCGTCTGCAGCTCCTCAGGCAGGATGGTCAGGAACTGCTCCAGCACCAGCAGCTCCAAGATCTGCTCCTTGGTGTTCAAATCCGGCCTTAGCCACTGATGGCAAAGTGCACGGAGTTGGATCAGAGCTTCTCGGGGCCCTAACGTCTCCTGGTAGCATAACTTCCTGAAGCGCAGGCGGAACAGCTCTTGGCCGGGAGGGTTATTTTCATGCAGACTGGATTCCTGGTCCCAGCCATGATCTTCCTCTACCTTGACGATGACAAGGTCTTCCTCAGGAGCTTGGTCAGATGGGGATGGGGCTAACGACTTTCTTGATTCTGCTGCCATTTAGGGCTGGAGCAGCTCCGGAGGCTCGTCCCCACTATCTTCTTTATCTTCTCAAGAACCTTCCAAGGAGCTCTTCAGTAAGTGCAATACTTGGGGTAGAGAAACTGCCAAACAATATTAAAGAAAGACAAATTTACTAAGACACCTTAACTAGCTCCTTACCACAGCATGTCCCTCATGGCTCAGTCATTTAAGTGATCCTCTCCACCGTTCCAGAATTAACTCCTTACCTCCTTAGCTTTCTGCCACAATGAACACCCATCTGGGCAATATTCCCTTCCTTCTGCTTCCTCTCTCTGGGGATGTGGTATACAGCAAACAAAGTCAGGAAACTATGCAGACTGGGTCTAACTGAAGATCTGCACTTAACCTCAGCTGGTCCTCAAGTGATGCTGATGAATTTTCAGCATTTGCTACACCAGCCATACCATTTCTACCCATTTCAGCTCTCAACTTAGCCCTCACACTCAACAGGAGATGAATCTCTGTATAATCTAGCTCAGGGTATTGTCTAGAACCGTCCTAACACCATAGGCTCTTCTCCACCTAAGTCATTATCCTACTGTGCTCTCCATCCTCCCTCCTGTCTCAAGGCTAACCACTTCCACTGTGGACCTTATCTCCCTCTACAACTCTCTTTGGAGCACTGGTCCTGCCTCTCAAAGGAACCTAAATGCCCTAACACACCTGTGACCCAAAAGTCTAGTGCCACACACTAATGACCTTTTATAAATAAAAGCACACAGTAGGTAGTCTTTTGAGTCTGACATCTTTCACTTAGCATAATACATATGAGGTCATCAATGCTATAGAATGTACCAGCAGTTTATTCCTTATATGGATGTATGTTTATCCATTCTGAATTGAGAGCTAATCTCAAGGCATTTTCAATTTTTGATGATTACAAGCAAAGCCACTATGAGTATCTACTGAGTTGTTGTGTGAACATGTTTTCATTTCACCTGGGTAAATATCTAAAAGTAAAACTGCTGAGTCATATAGTAGGTTATGTATAACTTTATAAGAAACTGCAAAACTGTTTTTTTTAAAGATTTTATTTATTTATTTTACAGATAGAGATCACAAGTAGGCAGAGAGGCAGGCAGAGAGAGAGAGAGAGGAGGAAGCAGGCTCCCCGCTGAGCAGAGAGCCCGATGTGGGGCTCGATCCCAGCACCCTGGGACCATGACCCAAGCTGAAGGCAGAGGCTTTAACCTACCGAGCCACCCAGGCGCCCCGCAAAACTGTTTTCTAAAGTGGCTGTAACACTTTGCATTTCACCATCAGTATGTAAGAACTGCTGTTGCTTCATATCCTGACAAGCAATTGATACTGTTTTATTTTTAATTTTAGATACCTGAGTGTGTAATGGTATCTCACTATGGTTTTAATTTGCATTTTCCTTCTGACCAATAATGTCGAGCATCCTTTCACATGCTTATTTGCCATCCGTAGATCTTTGGTGAAGTGTCTGCTCAAAACTTTTGTCTGTTTTCAAAATTAGTTCTCTTTTGAGTTTGAGGATTCCTTACATATTCTGGATACAAGGCCTTTATGATATATGATTTGCAAGTATTTCCTCTTCATACCTTCAACAGTGCCTTTTGAAGAACAGAAATTCTTAACTTTTGGAAGTCAAACTGGTCAATTTTTTTCTTTTAGGGACTGTGCTTTTGGGGTCATATCTAAGAAACCTTTGCTTAATCCATGGTCATAAAGATTTCCTCCTGTTTCCTTCTAAAAGTTTTATAGCTTTAAGTTTTACCTTAGGTCTATGATCCATTTTGAGGGTTTTTTGGGGGGTTTGTTTTAAGTAAAATCTACACCCAGCCTGAGGCTCAAACTCACGATCCCGAGATCAAGAGTTGCACACTCCACCTGCAGAGTATGAGCCAGGCAGGCGCCCCAAATTCTGAGTTAATTCTTACATAGACAAGAGTTTGAAATGTGAACAGCACACAGATACCAAATTGTTCCAGCGCCATTTGCAGAAAAGATTACTCTTACCCACTGAATTATCTTTCCCCTCTTTGTCTAAAATCAATTGGCCATGTATGCGTGGACCTATTTCCGGAATCTCTGTTCTGTTCCACTGACCTACACCTTTATCCTTTCACCAAACCAAGCTGTCTTGATTACTGTGGCTTTCAAAATCTTGAAATCAAGTACTAAAGTCCTGCAACTTTATTGTGAATTTTAAAAATTGTTTAAAAAAATTTTTTTAAAGATTTTATTTATTTGACAGAGAGAGAGACATGGGGAGAGACAGAACACAAGAAGGGGGAGTGGGAGAGAGAGAAGCAGGCCTCTGAGAAGAGAGCCCAACTCGGGGCTAGATCCCAGGACCCTGGGATCATGACCCGAGCTGAAGGCAGCCACTCAATGACTGAGCCACCCAGGCGCCCCTGTTTTAATTTTTCTAATTCCGCTGACTTCAGATATAAATTCCTACAAAAGAAATCCTGGACTAGGATTTGCGCTGAATCTATAGCTCACTGACATTTTAATCTCCATTCTGTAAACACAATCTGTCTCTCCATTTATTGAAGTCTTCTCTGATTGCTTTTGTTAGTGTCCAAACTACATATTCTTAAAGGACAAAATAAAATATTTTCTCCTTGAAAATCCTTTCTTGGAGTGCCTGGATGGCTCAGTTGGAAGAGCATGTGACTCTTGATGTCAGGTCTGTGAGTTCATGCACCACAATGAGTGTAGAGCTTACTTATAAAAAAAAAAAAAAAGGAAAAAATCAAGTAAAATCCTTTCTTGATGACTCCAATTGGAAGTGACTGCCCTCTTCCTTATACTTGTTGCATAAATGTTTATCATTTTACTTTATTTGTGATGGTCAAGTGATTTTTATTCTAGGAATATGCTAATACAAAATTGGAAAATGTATTCTCTCACTCATCATATTCATAGAAAAGATGCATAACTTTTTTTTTTTAAAGGTTTTATTTATTTATTTGACAGAGAGAGATCACAAGTAGGCAGAGAGGCAGGCGGAGAGAGAGGAGGAAGCAGGCTCCCTGCGAGCAGAGAGCCCGATGCGGGGCTTGATCCCAGGACCCTGAGATCATGACCTGAGCCGGAGGCAGAGGCCTTAACCCCCTGAGCCACCCAGGCACCCCATAACTTGTTTTTTTTAAAATGTTACTTTTCTTGTAGTTATATATTATTAGTTGCAAGAAGTTTTGACTTCCTAACTTAATTGTATATTCCCAATGAGTACAGATCTATATCTTTTATTTTATTGATTGAAGAACATGCAAAAGCTATTATTTATAATACCTAACACAGAATATATCTATATTTGCTGAAAAGCAAGGTTTAGATACGAACCTGGAGGTCCAAAGAATTCACTAATAGGGTCCTATTTCTTTGTGGGATATGTCCTATGGCCTTTATCTTTGGTAACAGACATCACCTCTCACTGGCACTTACAGTGGCTAAGTGGTCTTCCTGCTTTTTGATTATTCTTTCATCCCATTTGTGTTCCACACTGCTGCCTGCTGCGAGTTGAATTGTGTGCTCCCAAAAGATTATGCTGAGGTCCTAACCCCTGATCCCTGTGAATGTCACCTAATTTAAAAGTAGGGTTTTTGCAGATGTAATCAGGTCAAGATGAGGTTACACTAGAGTAGAGAAGGGCTTTATATAGTATGACTGGTATACTTTTAAGAGAAGAGACACAGAGATTGAGACATACAAAGAGAGGGCCGTGTGAACACAGACACAGAAGAAAACTATGTGACTACAGAGGCAGAGATCAGGAGTTAGGCAGCCACAAGCCAAGGAATGCCAGTAACAACCAGAAGCTAGAAGAGCGTAGCCCTACCAACCCCCTGACTTTGGACTTTTGGCATCCATAACTGTGAGAGAATAGATTTCTGCTGTGTTAAGCCACTCAACTTGTGATACTTTGTTATAGTTATGTTACCCTATGAAATTAATAATGTGCTGGAGAGACTGTTTCAACAAATATGTAATACAACTCATGACTTTAAAATCTTTCAACAAAGAACCCAACTCTTCAGCCCAATACCCAACGCCCTTTATGTACGTATACCTGCCTACCTTTATCTGCTATAAGCTTACCTTCATATAGCTTTTTCCAAATGTGGCTTTTTTTTTTTTTTTAAAGATTTTATTTATTTATTTGACAGAGAGAGAGAGAGAGATCACAAGTAGCCAGAGAGGCAGGCAGAGAGAGGGGGGGAAGCAGGCTCCCTGCTGAGCAGAGAGCCCAATGCAAAGCTCCATCCCAGGACCCTGGGATCATGACCCGAGCTGAAGGCAGAGGCTTAACTCACTGAGCCACCCGGAGCCCCTCTTACATCCTCTTTTAAGAACACCGGGTCAAGGGGCGCCTGGGTGGCTCAGTCAGGTTAAGCATGGGACTCTTGGTTTTGGCTCAGGTCTTAAACTCTGGGTGGTGAGATGGACCCTGGGGAGGGCTCTGCACTCAGCAAGGAGTCTGCTTGAGATTCTCTCCCTCTGTCCCTCCTCCCTGAGCTCGCGCTCTCTCTCAAATAAATAAACAGGGGCACCTGGGGGGCCCAGTCAGTTAAACATTTGCCTTCAGCTCAGGTCATGGTCCCAGGATCCAGTGACTGCAGGAGTCCCCTTCTTTCTCTCCCTCTGTCCCTCCCCACTGCTTGTATGTGAGCACATGTACACTCTCTCTCAAATAAATAAATAAATAAATAAATAAATAAATAAATAAAATCTTTATAAATAAATAAATCTCTTTTTAAAAATACCTAGTCAAGTTTGTTTATTTAGGAAGTTAAACTAGTCAATCTGTAAAGACTCTTCTAACCTCAAATGCTATAATCCTGTCAACTACCAAAGGTACAACTCAGATTTTATTTATTATTTTCTTAAACATTATTTTGTCAGCATTTTGGGGGGGGTGGAGAAGATTTAGTTATTTCAGAGAGAAAGAAAGCAGAGGCAGAGGGAGAGAATCTCAAGCAGTCTCCCTGCTGAGCTCAATCATGGGGCTCCATCTCAGGACCCTGAGATGACCTGAGCCCAAATCAAGAGTCAGAAGCTTGGGACACCTGGGTGGCTCAGCAGTTAAGCGTCTGCTTTCAGCTCAGGTCATGATCCCAGGGTGCTGGGATCCAGTCCTGCCTTCAGCTCCCTGCTCAGTAGGGAGCCTGCTTCTCCCTCTGCCTGCTGCTCCCCCTACTTGTGGGCTCTCTCTCTCTGACAAAAAAACTAATTAAATCTTAAAAAAAAAAAAAAAAAAAAAAAAAAAAAAGAGTCTGGAGCTTACCCTACTGAACCACCCAGGTGCCCCAGAACTCAGATTTTAAAACATTATTCTTTTAAGAGGTGAGAAGGAATATTTCCTTCCTTCGGACTAAGTTAGTCTACTTTGGGAAGTTTGGGAACTGAAAATAAAACAAAACAAAACAAGAAAGAGATGTGCTATGGTGAGTGCTGTGAAGTGTGTAAACCTGGCGATTCACAGACCTGTACCCCTGGGGATAAAAATATATTATATGTTTATAAAAAATAAAATTTAAAAATAAAATTAAAAAAAAAAAAACAAGAAAGAGATTTTTCAGGCTTTAAAGGTAAAGAAAAAAAAATAAGTGAGGCAAAAACTGTCCTTAAGAGTTATCTCCAGGGGCGCCTGGGTGGCTCAGCGGGTTAAAGCCTCTGCCTTCGGCTCAGGTCATGATCTCAGGGTCCTGGGATCAAGCCCCGCGTCGGGCTCTCTGCTCAGCGGGGAGCCTGCTTCCTCCTCTCTCTCTGCCTGCTTGTGATCTCTGTCAAATAAATAAAATCTTAAAAAAAAAAATAAAATAAAAGAGTTATCTCCAACCGCAGAAGCCGGTTTTAATACCGACCACACTTCACACCACCCACAGCACTAATTCAAAACACTTAGGCATCTGTTAAGTCAATGATTACTGCATAAATACTCTTAACTGAACCAAACGACCGAAATCTGGATTGTTCTCAGAACGGAAGCGGCAGTCTTCACGCTGCCTGACAGAATGACTCGTGAGCGGATGGGGCTCCTCCAGAAGAGCTCCCGGCGTCTACTTCAGCGACCCTTGATACACGGGCTACGTGTTTCGAGTAAGGCTGAATTCCAAATGTGAAAAATGTGTCTTCTGTACAATGACCCAGGCAACACACCACCATTTTCTGAATACACCACAAAGAGCAGAGTAACAGCAAAAATCGGTTTCCAAGGATAATTAGGGTTTCCAAAAGCAAAATATTGAGGCAAAAAAAAAAAAAAAGGGAGGGGTGGGGATCGTACTGTGAAGGAAATGCAAAAAAAACTGCGAAGTAAAACCAATTCAGACGGTGGACGCGCCCGGATAAAAGACAACGTGCGGGCGGTTTCCCGTTTTAAGACAGGTAACATCACAAAAAGAGGGGCGGGAAGAAGAAAGCGACCCCCCAGGGCAGGGTCCCTGTCAGAGAGTCTGGGGCCGCGGCCTAGGCTTGCTCCCGCGGGGGACCAGCCCCCAAGTCCCCTGCAGCCCCGGGCGCCCCCCGCGTCCGGGCACCTCTCCAGACCCTCAGGTCCGTCCCCAGCGGCGGCCTAGTCTGGCCACAAAGCGCTCCCCTCCTCCACCTGGAGCCCGAACCGTTACTCACCGCGAGCAACAGGGGCGGCCCGGGGTGGGGAAGGCGGGCTGCAGAGGACCCACGGACCCGGAGGAGCGGCGGGGAGGCACCCGGGAGAAAGCTGCAACCGGACCAGGGCCCTCCGGCCCGTAACTTCCAAACCCGCGGAGGCACGACATCGACCAACGCGCATCTTGTCTCAAGGCACTTCCGGAAGCTCTCTAGGAACCGGGAGGTCTGGAAGCTCTATGGTCGGCCGGCGGAGGGCTTCGGCTAGCCTGCGCCTGCGCGGCGCTGGGTCCGCGGGTGCGAGGGTGAAGGTCGGCGTAGGCGTGGGTCCTGCAAACCGTTAGAGACCTGCCAGTTGCTTGAGGAATTCCTGCCCGCCACAGTTCATAGCCTTTGGGTTCCCCTTTGGCACCGAGTACAACTTACAGTGTCATGTTCAAAAAGTCATGGTGATTGAGTATAAATGCCCAACGAATCTTTACAGGCGTTCAGCCCTTTCCTAGCTGGCTGTACCGTAACCTCGCAAAACCTGCTTCGCAGTTGAGCGTTTGAAATGCTCAGTTTGTGAGGGACGCTTCACTAGTGGACCCTAGTTTCCACACCACAAAGTTAGGGAAAAGATCTACGTTCACATCTGCGGTCATTCTTTTGTTGCCTGAAAGAAGCCAGTCTCAGCAGGTTACTGAGGACTACGGCCAGGGAGACAGTGGTTCAGGCTGCTCCGAGGACTGCTCCCGAGCTGGTTCCCTGACAGGGGATTTTGTGCAAACACGGGAAATTCTTGACTCTCTAAATTCTTGACTCACAACGTATGATCTGTTCGGTTGTAAAAGTTAGGATTTACTGATTTCCACAGAGACCTAAATCTTAATTTATGTCAGGAATTCCTCAAGCAACTGGCAGGTCTCTAAGGGTTTGCCGGACCCGAGCCTACGCCGACCTTAATGATGCATGATGCTTCTAGCATATTTGATTGTTCAAAACTAGCTCCTGCAGGCCTGTGCGTTACTGGTTTTCCCGTTCTTCCTGTTTGCGGATCTCCTTGAGGTCACTGGAGATGATCACAGAAGACTGACATTAGTTCCTGCTGCAGTGTTAGTGCACACTTTGTATATCCGTTGTATTAAAGTTTTAACTTTTCAGATTAAATAGGATTTGGGGGTGGGGATTGAAGAAAATGTCTTATTTGTGCTGTTTTGTGACCCCTCCTCCATTTTTATTCCTTCACCACTTTTCCTAGCCACCCACTTATTTTCTCAGATGCCCTTCCAATCTTCACCTTAATTTTCCCTCTTTATCTGTTCCTACTGATAGCTGATGTGGAGAACAAAAGCAAAAGAAAAAAAATTAAACTTCCTTACAACTTATAGCCCATTGACAAGTGCCTGAGATGGGTAGAGTGACCTTCCTCTAGGAGCTTAGCTGCCACAATGTTAATACTTTGCTAGCAGCAAAAGACAGCCTTAGCTTGACATTGGCCTGAATTCCAGGAGCCTATAAAAAATCCTTTGGAAACTTCCTTCCTCTCTATCCCCTAAAATATATGTCAGCAATCATACCCCAAGCATAGGGCCCACTGATATACATCTGAAGGGTCTCATGACTGAGGATTTAGATAGACAGTAATGAATGACCTTTCCTAACAATAGCAAACACCTCCAGGTCCTGGAAACCCTGCTTCCAAAATTGCTCAGAGGGGTACCTGGATGGCTCAATGGTAAAGGGTCTGCCTTCGGCTCAGGTCATGATCCAGGGTCCTGGGATCAAGTTCCACTTCAGGATCCCTGCCCAGCAGGGGAGTCTGCTTTTCCTCTTCACCCTGGTCACGCTCTCTCTCTCTCACTCACTCTCTCTCTCTTTTAAATAAATAAATAAATAAAATCTTTTTTAAAAAAAGATTTTTTAAAATTTTAAAAATTTTTTAAATTAAAAAAAATTTTTAATGGTGAGTGCTGTGAAGTGTGTAAACCTGGCGATTCACAGACCTGTACCCCTGGGGATAAAAAGATATTATATGTTTAAAAAAATAAAATTAAAAAAAAAACAATTACTTTGCAGTTAAGTGCATTTGACTTGCCTTTTGAAGTCATTGTACTCCCATACGATGTAATACATTTAAGTTCGGAAGAGTGAGTTACTAGATTCAATAAAAAAAAATCTACCTTGCTCAAAAAAAAAAA